TAAAATCCTGTGAGGCAGGAAGCCTGTTCAGAAAGATCCAGTGAAATTCAAAATACAGAAAAAAGCCTGGACAGAACAATTTGGCTGGAAAGGAGCGCTTACATGGAGTAGACATGAGAAACAAGTTTGAAAATGTCAACTGAGGATCGAACCCCCCCAGTGAGCCCTAGCTGAACCCTGAACTACTACTAGAGAACTTCATTCTAGATCTTCCTAGAGATGGGAGAGGAGTCTGGACTTGCATTCACGGCTAAGGTTCAGACCCAGATCCATGGCAAGCACCACCAAATGGATGTCCACCACACATAGGCAGCAGGGCTCCTCTTCCGCTTCCCTCCTGAGGTTGACACTCTCACTTGTCTACATTCAGAGTGCAATACCCACCATTTACCCCTGCAGGACCAAGGCTTTCCTATTCACTTCCCTTCCTGATTTTCCTGCATCCACACTTAATCGCACTCTGTGCACCCATCCCAACCTCCTCCCTCCCTCCCAGTCCAGTGGAGGGAAATAGAGGCTGCTCTCTCCACCTGTCTTTCAGATCTCACTTGTTCAAAATACTTCAGGGACTTGTTGCATTGATTGTGCTCTCTCATTCTCAAATTTTTAACTTCCCCTCTCTACTTGAACTCTCTCTTCATTATTCAAATATGATCTAGAATCTCCCCTCTTAAAATCAAAATTTTCCTTGCCCTGCATCCACCTCAAACACTACCCCATCTCTTTATTTACTCCTTTCCCAATCAAGCTTTCTAAAGGCATAGAAACAGTTGCTTTCTCTATTTTTGTTTTTCTTTTTTTGAGACAGAGTCTTGCTATGTAATTTAGGCTGTCCTTGAATTCACTATATAGCCAGGCTGGCCTTGAACTCATGGCAATCCTCCTGCCTCAGCCTCCCGAGTGTTGGGATTACAAGTGTGCCACACTTGGCTTAATTTCAACACATCACTGGGTCTTCCAGAGCAGACCCTTCTCATACATACCCATACACCACTGAAATCACCCCTGCTCAGACCACGAATTACCTACAGGTACCTAAGTCTCATGGATGCTAGCTGGTATCTTTACCTTCAATAGCATTTAGCCAGTTAAGCCCTCTCTCCTTCTGGATTTTTCTTCTTTCTGTCCCTGTGAAGACACTTTTTCCTGATTTCTTCTTAACCCTTGGCTTTTGACAGCCTCCTTGTTCTTAAGCAAAACTCACCAACTCCTTACTGTTTGTGTCATTCTAAGCTATTTTTATTTTTAACTACTTTAAACCCCAGGACAATCCTATGACATAGATATTATTATTTTCCCCATTTTACTAGGTGAGAAAACTAAGATATATGAAGCAATGTCCAGCTTTCTTGGATAATAACTGCCAAAGACAAGATTTGAACAAACACTTTAGGTCCTGAGTCTATACTGTTAAACACTATGTTGTGCAGTTTCTTTATCTGTATAAATAAGAAGATAGAATAGGATAGAATACATTGCAGTTGCAAACAACCTAAATATTGGTAGCTTAATATAACATGAGGTTTTTTCCACCTGCTCCATACAATCACTCAGAAAGTAGAGGCCTAACAATTTGTTGCTACAGCAAAGAGAGGAAGAGACTGACAAATCATATAGAGGCTTTTCATTGGCACGTCCAGAGATATTTCTTCAACTAGAACTAGTTGCATGGTCCCACCTACCTATGGGGGAAGGGAATTATAGGGGAGTGGGTGCAACATTTGTTGAGATATTGTATGCTCAGTACTAAACTATAATTGCTGGAGTTCCTCCAGATTCAGTCTGGGTCCTCATCTTATTTCCTACAGCTTTAGATATAATAAGACTTCTCAAATTTACACATTTAGCCCAGACCTCAAACTCATTTTAGAGCACCAATCTTGTCTAACTGCTTACTCGACTTCCTTAAAAGGGGATTTCAAAAGGCCCTTAAATTTAATTATATTCAAATCAAAACCCTTAGAGTTCTCCCCATCATAATTTCTATCCTCTCCAACCTACCTCACTTCGAAAAATGATTCTTCCGTCCATTTAATCCTTCTGCCAGAAATCTAGAAAACATTCCTGGCCCCCTCCCTTTACTTCCCATATTCATCCTATTGCCAACTCGGGCCAAGTCTATCTTCAAAATGATGTTAAATCTACCCAGTTATTACTCTTGTCTAAACCACCACCATCATGTCCCGAGACTTCTAGTAACCTTTGCTCTATTCTCCCCCACTTACTCTCTATGTCTTTCTAGAACATTCTCCCCACTATGGCCTACCTGATCTTTCTAAAATGCACGTCAGATCATGCCACATCTTTCTCCCTCAGTGTTGTTCATATTGCTCAAGTTAGGTCCTGGATCCTTAAAGGGCCCTGCAGAGTCCCCACAGGGTAGCCCATGTCCTCCTTTCTAGCACCTGCCTGCACTATTCTTCCCCTCATGCACCACGCTCAGGTCTCACAGGCTTTCTCTGCATTCCTGGGATACATCACACTCTTACCAGGTGACAGCCTTCCAACACATTACTCCCATTCCTTGGAATGCTTCTTTTTACACTCGGCCCTGCAGTCTCTCTCATGCATGGGTCTCATCCTAAATGTCACCTGCCAAATGCGACCTTCTATGAAACCCCCAATGTAAACGAGGCCCTCCCAGTATACCATCTCAGCACACCCTACTCTTTTGATTTGTAGCACTAACTATAACTACACACTTATCTTTGTGACTTTTTATTTTATCTTACCTTCTTAGAACTGTAAGCTCCATGGAAGCTATAGTGGAGTACACATTTGCTCATCATTATATTTTCCATAAACAATATCTTCCATATACAATAGCATATAATAAGTCAGCAGTCAATATTTGTGAAATTAATGAGTCAGTTAAAAAATAACCCCTGCCTCAGAATGTGCCATCAATGATCAGCAGATACAGCTTACAACAGAATTGGCTGGCTGACTTCTCAGCCCCGTATTCCCTGTCAATGTATTTATGATCAAGTAATAGTGATCCTTTGTTCCTCAAAAAATGTGCAGATCTGGATGGTCTAGAATGAACTGGCTGAACCATCTGAGGCCACTCAGGCCATATCTCCTAAGGTGAAACCACTCTGGGTCACAGACTGAATAAGGTCGAAGTCTCTTTACTCATTTTTTTAATTGATTAATTAATAATTGAACTCCTTATTTCAGTATGCATGGTCTTTCACAAGCTGACTCATCCTACTTTCTAACTCTATTGCTGCTACAACCAATTGCCACAAAAGTAGTGGCCTAAAACAACACAAGTTTATTATCTTAGAGTTCTAGAGTTCAGGTATTTGAAGTGCTTCCCACTGAGCTAAAATCAAGATGTTGGCCAGGCTGTGCTCCTTCCTGGAGGCTGAGGGGAGGCACCTCCTTGTCTTCTCTGGCATCTACAGGCCACCTGCATTCTTCAGCTTTCAGCTCCTTCCTCTGCCTTCAGAACCAGCAACAATCAGGCTGAGTCCTTCTCACACCATCTTCTACCCAGTTCTCTCCCTCTTCTTCCTCCCTCCTCCATGAATAAGGACCCTGTGATTTCATTGGGTCCATCCAGACAAAGCAAGATCATCTCCCCATCTCAAAGTCAACTGATTAGCAACCTTAACCCCATCTACAACACCTGCTTGTAGGAACCCATTATAGTTCCAGGTTATTGGGGTTGGGATATGGACATCTTTGAGGAACCATTAATCTTCCTACCACCATGCTCACTTACATACAATCTTCACCTCCAACTCCACATTTTAACCATGAACTTGAGACTTGACATTGTTATTCAGAAGAGCCAGGTGGTAGCCCCAAGAATCTGTAGGAAACCACAAAGTTTCCCAAACAAGCCATGGTACCTTTTGCATACGAAAGATCACCCTTGGGCACTTCCAATATTTGCACCCAAAATCTAGGGTAAGGGTGCCTATATCTCTGGGTCATGGTGAAGATTACATTAGTTGCCATTTGTGCAATGTTTGGGGAAGCAGAAGAGTGGATAAAAAAGAACTTGTTTTCTGACTTCAGAATTCTGAGTTCAAATCCTGACTGCCTAAAAATAATGGTGTTACTCTAGCAAGTAATGTAAATAAGTAAAATAAATTCCATCAAAATCTCTGTGTCCTCACCTGTAAAGTGGGAGTATAAAAATATTCCTCTTACAAGGTTACTGTGAGGATTAGCTGAGATTAAGTATGCAAAGCAAGCAGCATATGGTAAGTGCTCTATAAGGTTGGGTGTTGTGATTATTATATTAAAATCCTTAATAAATTATAGCCACCCTCTGTTCTTACAGTGCTTTATTTCATTCCTTTATCTGACAAACTCTCAAATCTCAGCTTAAGCATTGCATCTTCAGGAAAGCCTTCCCCTTCTTTCCCAGGCAGCAGTCATTAGTTATTTCCCCCATCTATTCCTGTTAACCCACATCCTACATTTCTATTAGGGCATTATTACAGTAGATTGGACTAAGCACCTTGTACATGCCATCCCCACCTTCAACAATACACAGGTGTAGGAGACTGAGCTCCTCAAGAGCACATTTCAAGCCTTGCTCTTCTTTCTATACTCAGTTCAGGGCACAGGCAGTGCAGTGTTGAAGAAATGTTTGTTGATTGAATAAACATAGAATTCCATGTTACTACTCAGAAATTGTCATCATATTAAATGGGTATTAACTGATTTGTTTAAACTCACATAGTGTTACTGTATTCTCAGGTTCTGGATTATGATGTATATACCCTTTTAGCCTGGGAATAGAATTCTTTGAGGTTCAAGTAGAACTGGGCCCTTGGGAGAGCCACAGCCAGAAAGTAGGGTCCCTACTTGCCTGTGTTCTGGAAAGAGTCCTGTGGATGCGGGGATCACCCCCTCCCCCATCATAAGCTCCAGGGTTTTCATTCCCTGGTTCAGCAACTAGGCCTCACAGAAAAACTCTACCCCAAGCAGAACAGGGCTGAAAATCATATTTTCACGGGATGTCAAACCTTCTCTCTTACCTTAAATGAAAGGTATTATTTCTGAGAGGAGAATGTCACACTCCACCACCAAAATTCTGCTTTCTCGGCAAAACCCTCAGCAGTTTCTCTGCACGGCTGGCAGCTCTCCACCAAAGGCCGACACTGGGAAATTCACCGGGCCCAACGAAAATCATGGGAGCACAAGGCACTCTGTGATTAAAGCAAGGGAAAGCGAAGTCAAGGAGCATTATTGGCCGTGCAGAATGGGGTAGGGAGAGGAGATATGGTCCAGACACCACCTTAGGACCCACAACAGGTCTTAACTCCTCTTGGGAAATTCACCCGTCACTTTTCCAAGTAAATAAATTATACTTAGCTCAGCAACCTCTGGGCCTTTCTGATAATGGATGATATCCTTTCACCTTCATCTTTGGTATATATAAAAATATATCCTTCTTAGCTGCCAGCAAGCTATCCATCCCTTGTCTCTCAGCAATTCATGCTTGAGACAGAGACCTCTTTCTGGTTCACCCACACCCAACCTGCCCTGGGATAAAAACCCTTGTACAGAGCTGGGGAGGGTGGGAAATGTCTCAGGCAGTGACTGTATTCAAATAAATGGGAAACTGTCTATACTTTTTAATGAGTGAGAGTGCACTGGGGAGAACAGGTCAGAAAGTGGCTGCCTGTCCCTTGAGCTTTCTGTTGTGTCAACTTCTGTGTGTGTAGCCTGGGGGCTGATCATGCTCTAAGCTCCCCAGAGTCCCAGAAGCACTAGCTGTTTACCTAGCTGGCAGTTCTAAGCAAGGATACCTGTCCACTTTGGCCACACATCTTCCCAGATTGGGAGGATGCAGGTCCTACTTGTCCTCCCAGCCACTCCCAGAGGCATATGCTCCCTGACTGCGATGTGAGTCTGCTCTGGGCATAACCCAGATGATTAGCTCAGGTGTTCTGTGTCTTCTAGGTGCCCTGTGGCTGAGTTCAGGTGCCAACCTGTTCCAGGCTGGTGCTTTCTGCGTTAAGGATGCAGATATTCTGAGTCCAGGAAGCTGGCTGTTTTGCCAAGCTGAATTCAGGTGTTGGCCTACATAGGACCTGCAAGCTCTCCTTGGCAAGGTACCCAAATCTAGAGGTCCCCCAACCCAGGCCCCTGAGCCAATCAAGAGTGCCTTTCCTTTCCTTTATCCAACGCTGGTTGGATTTCCTAGGGGACCCTGTTCTCCAGAAAGCTCCGAGTGACAAAGAGTGTCTTCCTTCCCAAGGACTCTCCACTCAGAAATCTCTAGTCTGCCCCTTCATCACCTCACTCCACTGCATTCCTGGGGGCTGTATGCAAACATTTGCTTTGATTTGTAAAATGATCCATATAATTAGGGAAAAGAGTTAAATAAAGGGACTGATTTCAGAGACCAGGCTCTTAATGACACTAATACCTGACAAAAGGGGTCATTATGATGGGCTAATGGGCCTTGCCTGGCGTTCAGCTCTCTCAGGACACAATCCAACACACTCAATTATCTGCTAATCAGGGCCATTTTGTCAGAGGTTATTGCCCTGAAGTATCAATTATAGGAACATTATTAATACTTTATGGAGAAACCACTTGCATGAAAGTGTTAAATTCATGGGGGCATCCCTCCCCCACTTAGACCCATAATAGGCAGTCTCTTTTTGCCCCCATTTAGTTCTCCGACTGGAGCTTTCCACGACCCATTGGGTCTACTGGGAAGGCGCCAGGGCCACAACAATGTTCCCAAATCTGTCACCTGTGACCAAACTGGCAATCCCAACTCTTAATACCACCAGCTGGCAAGAGTGGCTTAGCTCAAAGCCAAGGCATTACTGACTCAAGATGTGGGAGGGAAGCAGGGATCCATGTGTTGCTGGAATGTGTGTATCTCTCTCTCTCCCTCCCCCCCCCCCCTTCTTCTTCTTCTTTCTCAAATAGGGCAGTTTTGAAGAATTGGGAAGGAGATAAATAGTGAAATAGTGACTCTCCACTTCAGGACACAGCCGGCCAAGGATGCAGTCTTCTGCACTCTATGCTGCTCCCTAGAATCCACTTGTCCAAACTGGATATATGGATATTTCCCCTCTAAGAAGGCACTGTCCAACCCAGAGGCTGAAGAAAGAACTCTGAAACAAGTGTGGTATAGAAACAAAACATGAAAAGGGCTTTAGAGGGTGATCAATCCTTATTCAAATCTCTGCCCCCCTCCCCCACTCACTGACAGAAAGAGCTCAGGCAAGTCACTAACCTCTCTAAGCTGTGACTTTTCTAACCTCCTGGGAAGCAGAGTATTATGGTGGGGTGTCATAGCTTGTGTCTAGATGTCCCCTCCAAGGCCTAAGTGGAGCTTTTCAGAGGTCACTGAATCCAGAGTGTGTGATGCTGGGATTGATTCATGGTGTGATGCTAGGATGAAGGGTGCTAATGGTGGTAGTAAGTATAAAATATAAGGGACAAAAAGAGGCTTATTGCTTGTAGCTTGGTGCCTTCTGCTTTCTGTCTTCTGCCATCCGTGAACAGTTTCTCCTCCGCCATGCCACCCTGCCTTGGAGCCAGCCGATGATGGACTGAGCCAAATTGTGAGCCAAAATAAACCTTTTCTCCTTTAATTTGGGGGGTTGGGTATTTTGTCTCAGCAAAGAGAAAAGTAACTAAGACATGGGAGAAACTAGGCTTTCGAAAGCTAGCAATGCAATGTACTAGTTGTGCAAACTAGATCAAGTTATTCAGCATCTTTCAACTTCACCTTCTCACACAAAGGTCAGGGACAGTCATAGCCATATGCCAGAGCCATAGTAAGGGTCAATGAGAATGAATGAGCTCATGATCACTAGTACTGCATCTGGCACAGGCCACTCAGGGAACATTACACTTAATGTGAGGTGGGCCTCAGAAATTGAAATATTTGCTGCTAAGTAAATAATGAACTTAAATGCTCAAAGAAAGCAAAATCTCTCTGTTCCCCCATCCCTGAATAACTACACAATTGCCAAGAGAAAGGTTAAATGATGTTTCCAACTGAGAAAGAGAGTGGCAGTGGGTCCTTGAATCTCTATCCAGTGCCTGGCATTATAGGGAGGCACCAGTCGGCCTGGGTTATGCTGCCTACTGGGAAGTGATAGGACTCTCCACTTCTGTGACCTAGCTGGCCTGGACCTGCCTATTGCCATCAGAACAACCAGCAGAAAAAAAGAGTGTTAGTGGAAATCTCCTATAATGTACTTTATAGGCAGTTTAGTCTAATGAGGAAAAGGTAGGAAGAAGAGATAGGAGATTGCTCTGCCACGTAGTCATCCTTGTGGAGCCTTCGGCACAGTTTAAGAAATAGAAATTAAAGACATAATTATGTCCATGACTTTACCAATAGTTGTTGAGCACCTCTGAAGAACCGAGCCATGTGATCACCATCAGGGAGATATTGGCCAACTCAAGACAGATCAATTCTGCTAGAGTTTGGGCTATATTCTAATAAAAATACCTATCTACATATGTCTAGAGCTCCCTGCGGTTTCTGGTCACCCAAGAAATATGAGTTGTTCCATTGAGGGAAAAGAGCATATGTATAGAATTCATAAAAACCCTCCAGTGTCAGAAGAATTATCCAAAATTAGTGATTACTGCAAGTCAACCGACTCAGGCACCAAAGAAATTAATTTGAATTATAACTGTGAACTTTAGGCCAAGATTCTTAATCTAAAAGTGGTTTGAAATCCAAGAGCAGGCAATGCAAACTCTTCCTAGAGACAAGAGTGTAGGCGACTGAAGGCACTTGGTTGGCTCTAATAGAATCCAGTCCAGGGGGAAGAGGGATGACCAATGTCCACCTTGAGTGGCCAAAAAAGAGAAACCATCACTTACAACCAAAAGGCCCCAGGCCTTGGCTGCAGAAGTGTCAGTTAAAAGACCAAAGGAGCTGGGAATCCACCCTTTCAAGCCTTGATTATAGCTTATAAATGTGTTATTTGGTGGGTATGAGTAATTAGTGTTTGTGTTAAGCAGTTACGGGGTTAAGTGCTAACAGGGGTTTGATCTGGGCTGACTGGATTCTGAGCTACACAGTAGGGTGGTTGCCTAGCAACAACACCTGTAGCACATTAAGCAGCCAGTCAGCTTTGTCAGCTTCTAGCAGGGGCTTTGTAGAGCGGAAGCTGGGGGTGGAGGAAGGATTATGGGGCACAAAAGTGGGAAGCTGGACAGTGGGTCTCCTCGGGAGAGAAAGAGAAGTGGGTGGCAGAGGAATCAAGTGTTTTTGTGAGTTCCACAGTGTCCACAGTGTGTATGTCTATTTTCCTCAAACAAGAGGCAACTCCAGGTGTGAGTCCAGGGTAGGTAACCTCAGGATTGTTCCTTGGTGCTTCCTAAAACTCTCACCTCAGCAGCCAAGGTGGAACCCCCTTCCTCAACCCAATCCCTCTTTCAAACAAGATCCCTTGGGATTGGGTGACTAGGGAGGAAAGACAAGTGCTTTTGTGGTTTTGTTCTCAGATCCAAGAGGAATGGAACCACGGAGAAGAAAAGCAAAGACCCTGAGAATGAAGTGCTTCCCACCCCCTTGCGACCGCATCATCCCGCACATCCCTCTGGACATGATCTCAGGCACACCTGAGATACAGCTGGAAAAAGAGCAGATTTGGGGAAGAGTGGGGAGCTTCACAACATTGCTACTGCCTTTACGGAGCTCATGCCAGCATTCCCAAACTGCTTCTGATGCGGTGGAGGCATAAAGAATGATGTACCTTCTAAAAGGTGGCTTTTCCAAAGGTAGCACTAGCAATCAGAGGCTTGGGTCATCTCCACTTCTATCTCTTGTGAGCTACGTAGCCTTTGGCCCACACCTGCCCTGAGACTCAATGTCCTTGTCTGTACAGTGGGAGATAATTATACCTGCCCCATTTACCTTATGAGGATCAAAGGTCATTTAAGTAAAAGAATGTTACAAATGCTATAAATCCTCCTCCATGCGTAAGGTGCCCACATTACAAAGAAGATGTCAATATATCTGCTCTTTTGGAATGGCCTGAGCCATTTGCTCTTTGGCCCACTGTGCAGGGGAGAGGATCAGCCATGTGCTGTGTTGTTGGATAATTTGGTGGGGGAACTGCTGTGAAAGGGGACCTATTCAATGCTTCTCTTCTAGGTTCACTGGTTCAAATCCAGCTCAAGGCCAACAATTACTGTAATCATTGGGTTTGGAATT